AGCAGCATCCTCCCAGTCATGGTCTCCAGCAACCGGCATCCATGGCTATTATCACCTATGATACTGGAGGTGGCATATGATGACTAGCAGCCTTTGATAGCCTTATCCTGCCTAAAATTCTCCAGTCCCCTTTCTAAGCCATCCGGATCAATGGTCACCACGACATCCTGCGCAGCAGATTCTGTAATTTGGCTATGTGGTGTAGGATGAAGCTCTTCCTTCCATCTGTCCTCAGTCCCCTTCCAATCAGCATCATGGAATGGCCCCAGGTTCTAGTGATATGGGGGAGTGGGGTGGGGGGAAGCTGCACCTAGTCCTCTAGTCTGGGTAAATTTACTAGTTCACTTCCCAAAGTCTGAGAGAAGACATCAAGAAGTGCTAGGAAACAGTCTGTTATGAAATACAAATGTATCGCTGATTTTGGATGAAAACACTTCGGGTGCAATTGCAAAAATGTTCATGTGAACAGAGCCTCAGTATGTAGGATTCCCCCTCATATGGAGTCAAACTACTGGTCCATCTTGCCCAGTGTTTAATGTTTTAGACACAGAGGAGTCAGTTTAAACTCAAACATGCACTGGGGGAACCTATTTATTAATTAAATACTAATAATCTACAACAGGAACTATCATACTCATATTTCATATAAATGGCCTTGTACAAATATATAATCCTACTATAAACTGCATCACTTGCATGTTGCTATGGCATTTACCTTAAAATAACTTTTAAAATATTTGTTAAAGCCATCGGGGAAAACAGCAACATTGACTATTTGTTTCTAAAATCATCTGGTTATTTCGAAAAGATTATATAGATATTAAAGTTTATTAAAGTGATAAAACATCCTGAGCTAGCTCTGCCATTTTGGTATTATAAGATAATCAATCACACCAGTTTAAAAGAAAACAATGCTGCTGGTAGGCATGGAGTCAAGAATGTTATTCCTTCTTAGACTTTCCTTAGTCCTGATAGTGAGAGAAGGCCCACCCCTACTCCATTCTTCTGTTCTGAGTACACACAGTGAGCTCTAATTGTTTAAGAATACTTACTCCATGGTAAAGCCTCTGAGATAAGCCCAACTACATGAATAAAGCGCTTGCTAAAGCATTAATAAGATTCCAAAACCAAGTGGAACTTGTTTCCAAACAGCACTGAAGCTAGCCAGAACTAAGCCCCACTGAGTTAAGAGAACATAGTTTTCATTATATTTATATATATTCCCATATTTATAACTTGCTCCCAGATAAGTATGCATAGGGTCAATGTGCTTAGGATTTAAATGTAAAGGCATTCTTTTAGTTCATTTCTTCTTCTTGCTCTCACCACCAAGAACATTTCCGCTTTGTGGCATTTGTAAATTTAAAAAACCCTGCAAATTGCTACAGAAGCAACATCACTTAGTCAGACTCTGTGTTGGGTTGCTAACCCTGCCCCTTCCTGGCTCCTGTTTGATATTCAACAAGTGAAGCTTTGGTATTGGCATACCTAGTGTCTGTTGATGTTCTGCTTGCTACACAGCTATCAGTGCCCATGGCGGGGAGGTGAAAAGGGGAAGCTCATGACCCAGCTGTGACTTCTTTGGGTACAAGCTGAAAACTGTGAAGTCTGAGAGGCACAAGAGTTTTCCCCAGTCCAGGGACTCTGCGTGCAAAACAAAGCATGTAGGTGCATTCCTGATTACCCGAGTCAAGCAGGAGAGTAGTCTGGCCTGACCTGGAGCCTCTTAAGTGGCATCAGGGTATTGGAGCAAACCCTGAGCTAGGCAGCATTCTCAGAAATGCTGTTCTATTAGCGTTTGACGTCAATAGGGTGTGGCTGGCACACCGCCTGTGGCCGAGCCAGCTAGGCAGGTTGGTGGGCAGTTTAGAATTTCCACAAAGCTGTAGCAGCTTGAATAAATAGTCCACCCACCTGCAAGCACAGCCCTCCTTCAACCACAAAGGGGGCGAGACAGATCTACCCAGCTCCTCACAATTTTAGACAGTGTCCCTCTTAATTTATAGCTGTACGACGGGGCTCCATGGGATTAATCAGTCCTGCTGAACATGGCAGACAGTGGATGTTTTCACAAGCAACATGTACATCTCCACCCCCCACCCCCCATTCCTTGCCTAGCCATTGAAGTCAAAACCTGCATTGTTTCAAAAGGACTCTCTCCCCCTTTCTAGCTTCTACTGACAGCTTTAACCAGTCCAGCAGTCCAGGCTACAAAGTGCTCTTCTTGTGAAATAACCTGCAGTCTAGCTTGTGGGAACAGAAGGGGGCAGTGGCAGAACAAAGAACTGCACAGGCATCTCCCGGTCTTGGCCTTTCTGCACTGAGGAACAGAAGACTGGTGCTGCTGGATCAGACCAGAGAAGCCAGCACTGTTTCCAGCAGTAGCCAACTGATGCCTCTGAGAAGCCACTGCATTTAGATGCATAATTGGCTGTAGTCCACCAAAGCTCATGTCACAATAAAGTGGTTAGTTTTAAAGGTTCTTAAGACTGGCTTGTATTTGCTGTGATGTCTAAACAAACAACCTCTCTGCAATCTCCCTCTAAAGATCCATTTAGGTCCCACAGAAGTCCTGTTTTCTTCCACATGGGGTATCCTTTTATCCCTTCTTTGGCAAGCAGCCATAATACTGGAATGTGCACATTATCTGGGAGTGAGTCCTCTTGGATTTATTGACACCTACCATTCAGTAAACATGCAGAAGATCAGGGTGCACACAACTAAGTGTAACCAAACTAAGTCCCAGGGATTTTACAAGGACTAACAATGCAATCTTACACACAACTAATCAAAAATAAGTCCAATAATAGGGATTATTTCCAGGTAAGCAAGTGCAGGATGGCAGCCTTAGTTGTGACCAAGGCTCCTAAGTTTGTGCTGGGTTCCCCTTTATTATGAATTCCGTGGCACCTTAAAAGACCGATTTGTTGTGGCATCAGTTTTGGGGGGCTAAAACCCACCTCAAGTGATGGATAATTTTATTGCTTTTGTGTTTCCTGAAATTCATCAGACATGGCAGCAAAATGTTGACCTTGGCAACAGAATGGGGTGGTGGATTAAGTAGGCCATGTAAAAATGGCATATTCCTAAAGAACAAGGATGGCAGCTTTCCGTTCACACAGAACACAGTGTGTCACCTTCACCTCTTGCCTTATGTTCTCCCATGGGAAGGCAGGTGGTAGCTGCTCCCAACAAACCCAGTTTATATAGTGCTATTCTTGGAAGGGGTGAGGGGTGGGGAAGCAGGCGGGTTTATCTGCTTTGATGGACAAACAAGCGCGAATGATATGAAAGGGAGAAAAACACCGTCGTGGGTGAAACTGGCACAGATCCTGCCAGCTCTCCTTTGGTAATGATTAAACTGTCAGTGCAGATTTCCCGGCAAGGTAGACTGGCAAGGACCCAGGTGGCACATATTATGCAAATTCTCCAGGCGGGAGCTGAGTACCTGTGCTCGGAATTCCCCTAGAGGTGGAGATCTTGTTACGGGAGACGCTTAAAAGGGACAGCCGTGGGGAGGGGCTGAGCCATACGCGAGGAGTACAGTCACGAATAGCAGGGCACAGGTGAGCGGGAGCTGAGCCCTCTCTGGGACGCTGCATATTAGCCAGCCACTCGCGTGTGGATTACCTGCTGTTGGAGCGCCGGCCTGGTAGGTTAAAAAGGCGATGGGGGAGGAGGAGAGAGTGGCTGAGGAGGATGGATGTGGTCGGTCTGTACCTGGTCGGTGTTCGGTTCTTGCTCAGGATGTGGTTATGGCTGCCGCAGTGCATTCTGTGAACTGGGTATTTGCAGGCAGCCCACAAGTAATTACTCACCCCCTTCTCCCTCCCACCAACCTACACTTCGGATGCAGACAGTAGGATGACCATCGCTTTCCTGAGCGATTTCTGAGCTTGCAAGTGCATCCGGGTGGCTATTGTTGCAAGCAGCGGGCCGCCCTAGGCACAATGCCGGGTCCGATCTAGCCAGGCGATTCTTCTGCCCCTATAGGCTTGGGGAAGCTTCAGCCCCTTCTTGCCTCGGGTTCCAGTCGGTAAGGTAGTCTGCAACTTTCTGGCAGCGGAAGGCTGGGCCCGAGCTGGCCCCGCGCCGCCAGGTTTCCCGGTAGTTCAGCATCCCTGCACTTCCAACTTTGCGGTGTGGATTCCAGATCTGATGGGCCTCTCGACCTGCCCGTAGGACTTAAAATCTGTACAGCAGGATAAAGCGCAGGAGAGCGATTCGGGGTTAGCAATGACGAATCTTAAGGGCTGAGTGACTAAGGTGAGGCTACATGCGGCAGAGACGCCCATTTCCAGGGCATTTGTCTTCGTGGACCCACAACAGCATCTCAGAAACTGGGGGAATGGCTTTAGGAGTGTGACTTGATCATTGCAGTTTGCGCCTAGAAAGTTGTAGGTGAAAAAGCGCAGGGTGGGTGCGTGGGGGGAACGCACCAGGTTTCTTAGAGGTCACAGGGCCTCATACTTAGTGTGAACGGCTGATAAGCTGGGGACTCTTGAAGAAGTAAAAAGTCTAATATCTATTTTCTTTGCCCCCCTTTTTTGCGGCGAATGCTTTGCTGTAGGGCATACAATGTCCATGTTAAAACATTCCCTTTTTTTTTTTTTCAGGCAAAAGGTTGACAATGGCCTGTGGGGATGCGGGGGGGGGGAGGATGGGGAATGGCCTTTTTGATTAAACAGGAATATAGCCTGATTTGTTGCTGGGCTTCCTTGGCCCTCAATGGGTTAGGGTTAGTTTGAAAGAACATCTTCAAATGCTGGTGATTCATGGGCCAGTCCCAACCACATGGGACTGGAAGGATCACTGGGAATATGTAAATGCAACTGGGAACTATCAAATAGGCTTGCCAAATTGATCTATGCAAAAACCTTGAGGAAGAAGGCAAAAAGTTGCGTTTGTCCCCACATGAGCTCTTGGGGTCAGTATGATGCTAGCTGCTTTGTGCTGGCTGGATCCAACCTTGAGTCTTAAGCATTTCAATCTTCCAGCAGAAAATCCCATGGCAGGATCCTGTGAAATCAGCAACCTCCTCTCAAACTACATCAGTGCAATGTACCAGCAAGAGGAAGCACCACCTGACCCAGACTTGCTAACCCACCTTGGCGATGACGACAATGTTTCTCTCACTGTGTCTAATACAGCCTCGGCAGCTGAGACGACGGGTGAGTGTCCAGTTCAGTGCTGCAAGGAAGGTGGGGCAACAGTGTGAGAGGGCAAGGGACTGAAGGGTGCCATTGGGAGGCTTTCGTGGTCAACCTGCCTTTTCATTCCCAACAGGTTTTCCAAACGAAGAAAAGTGATGGGAGAACATGGGAGGGCTATGAGTGGAAGATGACACCTTGTGGGGGACACGCACATGCACACACTTACACACACACAGTAAAATTCCATGCATGAGGCAGGGTGATAATGCTGTACAAGCTTTATCTGGGACACCCAAAGAAACCACAATCAGGGAACATTTGAAACACCGTCGTGCTAGTCCTGGATGGCCTTTCTTTGCACTGCAGGAGGACTATCAGGAAGCGCACAGGGGAGAGGCGAACACCCAACCTTTCCCCTTTTCCCCTGTGGGCAGTCTTGAGAAACCAGCACTGAGCTATTGCATATGAAATGCTTCCAACACTCGAATGTGAATAACAACAACACTATTTCTCCATTTGTAAAGCATGGGGCATCTTATTTAACATTTTGACCCTACAGAGAGTTAGTGTGGTGTGGTAGTTAGTGTTGAACTGGGGACCTGGGAAATCTTAGTTCAGCCGTGAAGCTCACTGGCTGACGTCAGGCAAGTCACTCACTCTCAGCCTAGCCTACCTCACAGGGTTGTTGTTATAAGGACAACATGGAGTGGAGGAAGACTAAGCTCATCTAGGTTCTTCACAAAAGGAAGAAAGGCAGTATTTAGATTTAATGTATTTGTTTGATAATGAATATGAGCAGCTGAGAACTATTTAAAAAATACCAAAGTGTTTAGCATTTTTAGATTTCATATGTTATGGTGAAGTCAGAGATTACTTGCAAGTTCCTCAAGTCTAGTCTGCTTTTTCATAACAAGGAAAGGCCCTGGAGCATCAAGGGATTCCACAGATACGGCTGTGGTTGGCTCCATACAGTAATCTAATAGAGTAGTGACTGGTTGAACTGGGAGCCCCGAAGTTGCTGTCCTAAATGACCTCACCCCAGTGAGGAGGGGCATGTTCCGAGATAAGGGAACAGGTGACAGGTGTACGTGTTAACCTGACCACAGTGACTAAGCAAGATAAATCCAGTGCGTAATTGAACCAGCCACACCCTGCGCTGCTCTCAGCCAGCAAATTGTTCCAGCGGCTGGGCTGGCACTGGCAAAGCAATCTCCCATGCAGCACCTGCGGGACTCAGCCTTCTCCTTTTCCCTCCTTCCCCCACCTCCACCCTCTGCAGGCAAGCCAACATGGTATGGTGAAATGCCCCACTGCTGGAGCAGGTCTCAGGTGCTGGAGTGGATCAGCTACCATGTGGAGAAGAACAAGTATGATGCCAGTGCCATAGACTTCTCCTGTTGCAACATGGATGGCTACACACTCTGCCAGTATACACGGGACCAGCTGGGACTCATCTTTGGGCCCCTTGGAGATGAGCTCTATGATCGCCTGCATGAAATCGGTACGTATCTAACACGTGCCGCCCCCCCTTCTCTCCGTGCAGAAACTCCCAAGAATCAGAGATCCAGCAGGTTAGGCTCTTCCAGTCTAGAACCTCTGTTAGCTCACAGAAAGGATGTCTGATAGCATTGAAAGAGAAGGTAGCGGAAATTCATGATGGATAGCACTAGAATTGCTACTTTTTATTGCTGGCTCTGCTCTTGTGCCTTTCCCATCAGACATATGCACACACATCTACAGAGCAAAGCTTCCCTGTTGCTTTTATCTTCATGCCAGGAAAAAGGGGATCTACTTGTTCAAGTTCAACTGCTGTTAAAGATAAAAGGGCAATTCTAGAAAGTGTCGTAGTGTCTGCTTTTCCCTATTTATCAGGGGCAGTCCCACATTTCTTGTTTCCTCATTCGTCTCAACTTTCATACAGCACAGAACCCTGATAGTGCAACTTTAAGCTTGTCCCTGAATGGAGAAAGGAGGTGCACGCTTTGCATTGAAAGTGCTTGGTCTTATTACTCAAAAATAATATATTTTCCCCCTGCACGCTTGTAGCCTCAGTCTCAGATGAACTTGGCTGGATCATGTCCGTTCTGTGGAATGAAGAAGCATCCCAAGAGTCCCTTCTTGACACCAGTCACTTAGGTGAGAAGGAAAGCTTGTTTTCATTGCTCTGCCTTGTGCTTGTACCCCACGGCATGGGTGTGGATGTGTTTAACCCTGAATCTTTTGTTCTTAGAATTGGGGAACTCATGCAGTCAGGACTATTTGGAAGAGATGAAGAACCCTTTCTCACAGCCTGACCTTGGCTACATTTCAGGGGCCATGTCACCAGACAGCTCTGCATCCCTAGCAGGTATGGACCCCTTGTCACTGTTGGTATCCTCTGTCCCCTGCCAGGCTCTGAATTAGGGATCCCAAGAGACATGATCGTCTTGACAGATCTACCTTTCCACCTGCTTTGCTCCTACAACAGCTAAAAGTAATTGGCACCCTGGGAGCCCTTTCCTTTCACCTGGGGTCTCCAACATAGTGCCTCTGCCTTTTATTTTATTTTTTAAGGTGATGATGGTGCATAAAGCAAAGAACTGCCCACCAGCAGTACCTTTACTGCTGTTCAAAAGAGCAGTTTTGGTTTTTGGAGCTCAGATCCCACCTCTGCTTTGCACGTTGTTTTTCTGTTAGACTCACCCATTAGTCTTCTGGGAAAGAAGTGTTTGTGACTGGCCATATTATGACTGGGCAAACTCCTCCCCATGGCAACCATTTTGTGGGAGCATCCGTGGCAGCCTTCTGGAATCCCAAAGCCCTAGAAGTGAAATCCCGACATGAAGTGTTCCAGTGCGGTGCCCATCTTTTTGCCACCCAAGCACAAAGTAAGCCCTGATTTCCCTTTTTTCCTCAGGGACAATGTCTCAGAGCCCTCAGTCTCAGGACTCCGGTGGAAGTGACCTAGATCTTGATCCCATGGAGATGAAGCACTGCTCCTTTTCAGATGGTGAGACATGGAGGGGGATTATTTTGGTGGTGGGGGGAGCTGGAGGAGGGCTGGAGACCTGTGGGAAGGAAGGGGGGTTGTGGAGTGAGGGGATTATGAGGAGACAAGCCACCCATGCGGAAAGAGTAGCTGAGCCTTAGTCTTTGCCAGGGTGCCATTCACTGTTGCAGCACTCAGTGGCTGCTTTCTGCTGGGGGTGGGAATTATGCCTAAGGGCTCTCTAAGATGCAAGTCCTTAATTACAACCACTATAATAGCAAATATGTTACCCACAGACGTGGAGTGATTTCTGATACTGGAGAACTGTCATAATGCAACGCTGGATGGGGTAAAATGGTGAGGGAGACCAACACTGTTGGGAGATAGGAAAGTGATTTAAAGCGAGGGAAAATGGCTATGGAAATGGAGGAAATGGATGCTGGGGTGGCTCTGGATGTTGAGTGTTCCAGAGAAGCAGGTCCCACCTGGTCCCCTTCAAACGGTTGGACTACACCTGCTATCATGGCAACTGCCCATGCTGGCCCAGGGTGATAGGATTTGTAGTCCCAATGCATCCAGAGGGTGCTCTATTGGGGAAGGCTTCTCAAGAAGCAAATTCCCTTTACATTTGTCTTGTGTACTGGTTGTTTTAAATGGGTGTCCTCGACTTACTCAAGCAACATGCAAGCTAAACCATTAGCTAGTATGTTACTGATGAGAAGACACTGTTCTGTTCCACTGGGAGAATCTCTGGATAGGGATCAAGCACCCAGTCCCATAGGAGTATTTCCAGTTTCAAATGCTGCTTTTCAGCTACTATTCTCCCTTCTAAAGGAAGTGTGTTTGAACTTGTGATTTTTTGAGATGCCAACTGAATTGGTATGCTGTATTAACTATAAGAGCTTGAAGTATGTTTGGCAGACAGGATTAACTGTGTCCTACCTTTTTCCATCTTTCCACAGGTGACTATGCAGAATATAAAAAAGAAGATCTCAAGAAGAGGAAAAGGGGGCGACCCAGAAAGGTCAGCAAGGACAACAGAGACTGCCTGGAGACCAAAAAGAGTAAACACTGTACGTGTACGTGAATCTCAATCTTGGAAATCCAAATTTGGTTCCGGTTTTCTCTGCAGTACCAATCAGATTGTGTGCTTTATATAAACCATTGTCCCATGCAACACTTGGCTTGTCCGAGCTGGCCCTTCATCCTGTAACCACAAAGCAGCTCACAGCAAGGGGTCACCCGTCTGATCCATTAGGACAGCACCAGTGGCACAGTGACGCCTTTGCTGAATGAACGAAGGCCCTTTATGACAGAGTGGGAGAACCAGTGCAGCAATGATAAATGCCATGCCCGCTGGCTTGCCCCCTCCATAGCAGTCCCCTGGATTCAGGGCTGAGTAACACCAGCCACACACTCTGAACAGACTTCTGCATCCGTGGTGGGGTGGAGCCTGCTCTCCTGCCCAGCCAAGCAGCTTGAGCCATGACACCTCCATCCTGCAGTATGCGGTGCTCTGCCATGACCCAGCTTGGCATTGCATTGGCATCGCAGGCAAGGAAATGCTCGTGCCTGTGGTGGCATCTAGACAGTTGCATAATGTTGCCTTCCTGTCCTTTACTCATAACTAGCCCCAAGAGGGATCCATCTGTGGGAATTCATCCGGGACATCCTAATTCACCCAGAGATGAATGAGGGGCTGCTGAAATGGGAGGACCGTCGAGAGGGCATCTTCAAGTTCCTGCGCTCAGAGGCAGTGGCCCAGCTCTGGGGACAAAAGAAAAAGAACAGCAGCATGACCTACGAGAAGCTAAGCCGTGCCATGAGGTATATAATCACCTGTTTACACCAACTTTAAACTTTTTAACTTCTATTTAAAGCCCTACCAGGGTAGTTGCATACCAAAGAAAACACTATTCAAATATTAGTAAAACAGATTGAATCTGTCATAAAAAGAATTCAAAGGTGGCAAAAACTTAAGTCATATAAAAATAATAAGCAGGACTTAACATCGGCAAGGGAAGGAGAGTATTAGAGTTTCTGTCTGACACCAGAAGTCTGTAGGATAGATGCCATGGTAGCATTACAATTCTAGAAGAAGCACAAGGAAGGAGACCTTACAGAAAAATTAAGGTAGGGAGACCAGAGCTCCTCAAATTCTGTGTTGTCAATTGATTCTGTACACCCTCGTCTCTGGATTCAGTGTGCCATGATGCCCTCTCACTGTTTTTAGCCAGACAAAACCTGTGCCTCAGGGCCAAAGTCAAGGTTAGGCCTGGTTGGGCACCTGCCAAAGGCTCAGCATGTCCCTTGGACAAGAGCTTCCCTGGAATTGCAGCCTGCTTGTTTACCTACATCTCACTTGGGCTTAGACAGCAGAGGTGGTGAGGAAGAGGGACGGTGCAGGCCACTGCTTACCTTGCCAGTGGTTCTTTGCCTGGTAAGCAAGTGAGTGTAACAGTGACGAGAGGAGCAAGAGCTGCTGGTAACAGCGGCAGTGAGAAGGCCGACTCAATGAAGGTGGAGGCCTTGCCAGGAGCTGACATCACTCTGTTGAGTGAGTTGGGGAAACTGCCGCTTGTTTAAAAAAAAAAATGAAAAGTGGTGTGGTGTGTATACATACAGTTATCACAGTTTACACAGCCTAGTCAATATGGCCAATAGTCAGGGATTTGAATGAAATTAGGAAGCTGGGGGAGGGAATGGAGAGTGCAGGGGATACAGATGTGCAAAAAAGCTGCTGCAGCAGGGCATGCAAACCTAAAGCAAACACAGTGCGAGCACGTGATAGATTTGCAGGGTGCCCTTGTACACTGGTTGCTGGGAAACTTGGGCATGAACTTGTTGCACACATCCTGCCTGTGGGGTCCTGCAGGCTGCTGGTTTGCCATTGTGTGAACAGGATACTGGACTAGATGGACCACTGCCTTTTCTTCCGTTATTAGAGACAGGAAACTGGCACTATGTAGATATTCCGAGAGGCAGATCCAGGCATTGTGCTTGGGTAAGTGGGAGCAGCATCACAGATAATGACTACTACAGAGTTTAATTTGGATCATGGAATCCTGGGTCTCTACTCTGTCACGAAGCATGATGGTTAGACATGGAAAAGTGACTGCTGCTTAGCCTAAACTACCTTGCGGGGTTGTGTTGAGAATAGAAGGAGAATCTCATGTTCATCTGTTCTGCCTGCAAGAATACAAAACTGACAGAAATAATAAGGCACCACACGTCTGAAAGTTTTTTTTCTCACTCCATCATTAACTGTGGACTATTGTTCCTCTCTTCTTGAAGCAAAGCCCACCCAAAGATCCTAGTCTTTGTGTTTCTTGGCATTGCTTTTTCATAAAGCCCTAATTCTCTCATCCCTCCCTGCAGGTATTACTACAAGCGGGAGATCCTTGAACGAGTGGATGGCCGGCGACTTGTGTACAAGTTTGGGAAGAACTCAAGTGGGTGGAAGGAGGAAGAAGTGCAAGACAGGAGCTAAGGAGCGCTGCAAGAGCCAAAGACTGACTTGGCCCTGGCCTAGACCCAGGCCGACTCCTGCTCAGAGGACCAGCTCTATGCACAATGCACTGATACAGGCTCCAGGCCTTTGCACTGCTGTCTCAAGCAGTGAATGGTAGACTAGCTCCTCCATGGGGCAAAGTGTGTAGTCTGGCTCCCAGCCTGGGAGCTCAGGTAATTACAGCTGATATTTTGGCTCAAGTAGGTTATTGTGAACCATTATTATTTGTTGCGATTGGACTCTGGCTGCTGCCGACTCTGAATAGGATTACAATGCCCTTGGCTGTCCGAGGCCCTGTGTGGAGTTCACTGAGGCAGAAGGAACAGGCAGTTCTTGGCCATGGCTTTGTCCCGGAGGGCCTTTCACAGGACTTCAAATGCTCTGCTGATCCACCATGAATGCTGTGGTCAACTGTGCACCCAGAGAGCTGGGATTTGCCACCCTGTGCCTCAGACTACGGGAATGCTGATCAGTCCTGATATCTACTTGGGAGTGGTAGCCGGACATGTTGCTTCTCACTCAGCTGCAGACTGGTTCCCAGAGAGTGCTCCGGTGTTAAGACCGTAAGGCTGAGATCATTGTGAATTTCAGGCTCTTGTGGAGGGCATGGATGCAGAGACCTCTTCTTCACCTCTCCCTAGTCACTTTACCTTTGTAGCAGGCTGTGGAAACTCTGGAAGCGGAGGCACACATCCGGGGGTTCCCAATAACAGGCTCCCAAGGAGAGTCCAAGCATTCCAGGTTGCTGTGTACATTCCTGCCAACAAACCAGTTCTAGAAATGTTCATCTCAACCAGAGGCAGGCCTTTTGTAAAGCAAATGGGGCTTAATTGCCCAGTCAAGGCCATCCCCCTAATTGCTTTGCATTGCAACAGGGATCCATATGTTATTGCTGGAGAAATCCACCCCACTCCCAGCTACTGTAAAGACTGCAGCTAAGCTCAGAGGGAACAACGAAGTCTGCGGCTTAGAGAGAGCCCTCTTCTAGCAGCCTTTCCCATGAGTAGCCTCTTCTGTCTCTTAATTTATAGGATGTGTTTATATAATGTACATAAATATGTATTTTTTCATAACTAAAGTTTGAGTGATTGTGTAAAGAAGCACTGGGCATTTTTCAAAACTGATTGTTGTTTCTAATATTCAGCTGGGCTGAACAAAAAAGTAAATCTTTTATTTTGAAATCACAGTGTTTGTAGTATGTTGTACTTGCTTGTTGGTGACTCCAGGAGAGCCCTGCACCATGTACAGGCTTCCTGCCGTTTTAACAATAATTAACCAATAAAGCACTGTTTTGTTGGTTTTTAATCTGTGTGCTGAACATCAATCAATTGCTTACTAGGGGATAAAAGCAGAGAACAGATTTTTATTGGGTTGAGATGGAAGAGGCAGGGGAATGAGATGGGAAAAAAGTATAACTCTCGGGTTGACTTCCTAGCAAGTGGCCCTTTTAAGAATGTCCCTAGCTGTTTGGATATCTTGGGAGAGACTTCCCCAGTCCTAATGCCCTCCACATATGCTGGACTACAACTCCCATAATCCCCAGCCAGATTGCAGGAACAGCTGCAAGAAAAGTGCCTTATCACCATCAATCCAATCGTATTGCTACAGTAAGGAAATATTCACAAAGCACTTTTTATCAGAATAAAGCTTCATGAGTTATACAACTTACTTAGCAGACTCCAGTCGCCAACAAGAGTCCATTCCACAACTGAGCATGAAAAGTTTCTCACACAAAGAATGTAGAAAGAGTCCTGCTGAGGTCAGACCACGGATCCATCTGATCTCGATTCTGGCACATGGTGGAAGCCTGTACAAAAAAACCTGAATATCGTACAGCACTCTCACCTGCATCCCAGTTTCTGACCTATTCCGAAAATCCCGGTCCAAAGACACCTTTGGTTAGAAGAGCATAGCTGTACTGTTCCAGTTACATGAAAAGGTGATCATTGGAAGCAGCTCTCCCTAGGTTCTCTTTCCTGATTGGGATGAAGTCAGCCTATAAAACGATTGTGAATGAAAATACTATTTTGGTCAGTAGTTGGATGATAGATTTGCCTGCTCTAGTGTCTTTCCTTGCAACCTTCTAGCTTCCTCCAGGTGTTCCGCTTCTGGCTGTGACCCATTTATCCTTGTTCTCCCTACCCTATGCATAGTCGCACAATTTGATGAATGTACATTTTGACTGCTAAACGTAGCAGTCCTGTGAGAAAGAGAACAAGGACAGAGAAGCTTGTACATCCACGGTGAACTGCATATAGGCACCTGAGTTTCCCTTGTCTAAGGAAAAGACTGAAGAGTTGCTGCACCACCCTTGTGATCCTAATGCAAATAGGAAGTCCAAAGATGCTTGGGAAATGGAAAACCCTGTTACAGAAATTTACAGAAACCTCACCATTACCACTACTAAGCAGTTAAAAAGTACCCACCCATCTGAATCACACATGTGACGCCCCTTCACCTTTTGTGACTCATCAACTCATGCTTGGCTTTCTTTGTGTTTCAGGGACTGAGTTTTTGAAGAGTCATCACTTTAGTTTCGAGGGTTTCTCCCAACAGAGTAGCATAGGGGCCATTCTCTTCATACCAGAGCAACAGTATGGGGAGACCAGAGCAAAAGTAATGAGGCATGAATAGATCCCAATCTGTTGGTTTCCCACCCACCTGAATAAATGCTTGTCTGAGCAAGTCCTGGATTCAAAGGCCTGGCGCTTTTACTAAATTCAAAAAGTTGAGGGGAAAATGACAGACAGGATTTCAATGCAATAGCATCCTCGGACATCCCTAAGACAGTGTTTGAAAAGGCAAAGTGTCACAAGATACATAGTAAAACTTGTGGGAGTGGTAGCGTGCAACTTTCTAATAAAAGTCAGCAAAATAATCAGCAAAACAAGGTTTGCTCCACAAGCACCCAATCTCTTGCTGAACAGCCTGTTCCTACTCACCACTTTAGCAGCTCAAAATAGATTCAAAGGAAAAATGAACACCTAGACAGTGTTAACTGTGGCTGGAGAGCTGCTGAGGCCCCTGGTCAACAGCTAGTCTTGCTGGAAGATGTTTTCGGGAAGAAGCAGGCTAGGGCCCTAATCAAGTGTCAGTCCTATGCTACATCTGCCATTTCTTTTATACTTCTGGGTTGATAGCTGAGCAAGTGAGCTGGCATCATTTCTCAAAGGGCTGGATAGGACACAGATGTCTCCTGTTGCTGACCTCTGATTTATAAAGATTTGTAAAATATCAGTACCATATATTAAATTCTAATAAATGTGCTAACAAGAGATAACAGCATCTGACCAGCTTCAGTGACATGAAAGCATGTAACTGTTTTTGCAGACCAACAACAACAAGAAGAACAACAACAACAATGTATTTGTGGTCCATCCTAGAAGCTCAGGGTGGATTACAAACTCCACAGTCCATGAACACATAATTTATATCTAACAATGGAAAACATGATGCAGAGAGAATGTGGCTGGGCCAAGGTCCTATCTGGCAGCATAAGGAGTTAGTCAGGTCATTCCTGTTTTCAGTCCAGGACTCGATCTGTGACTAAACTATACTGTCTCTGGCACTATGAGACTTGGGTTCATCTGTTGTGCAAGTCCTTAGAGGTACAAGTTGAAATTGTCCCATAAAAGAAACAGAGAAACAGAACAAGTCAAAAGGGGCCTCCTGGGCCATCTTTAAGAAGACGACTACTACAATATTGTTGAGAAAAGGTTTTTAAAACCAATCCCTTTAAAAATGGAAAACTAGTTATTATCATAATTTCTAAAAATTTGTGACCAGCTGTGACCAGCTTTCTGGAGGTCATAGTAGGGGATTTCTCCTATTCCTATAGCCAGTCATCCAGCATCTACCAGCCATAGGATTGTGCTTTTAGATGGCAAAAAAAAAAGGAAGTCAATGATGCACCTGAGAAAAGAGGGGCTTTGCTCCATTACATCCAGATGTTGTTGGTCTGTAACTCCTGTCATCTCTCATCAAAAGCTATGCTAGCTAGGACTGATAGGAGTTGAAGTCTAGCAACATTTGGAAGGCCACTATCCCCACCCCTACAGAAAAACTGTAAACATTCGCAAAAGCAATTCTCAAGGTCTGTGCCAAGACACTGGTTACCTAAGGTGAAGAACAAAATAACCCCCATTTCACCAAAAGGAGTTGACTGAAGTTCAACTTTGAACTGGACAATTGAATCTTACTTGGACACAAAGGTGATGCAACAACATCATTCACCTCACCTGAGACATGCCAGGTAGCTTAAGGACTGGAGAGAGTTTGCATGGAACCCAGCTCTGTCTGGTGAGTGGGGAGTGCCCCGCTTCCAAATGCTCTGGCCAAAGCGTCTGACTATATTCAATTGCCTCCCAAGAGGATGCATTCAGAAGAAGCTTTGGCTATAGGCAGACATTGGCTCAAGACGGACATATCTGGGTGGTCATGAATCTTTTTCTACAGAGGATGGTCCTCCCTTTGAAGGGCTGCCGGCAGAGTGTCCTCTATCTGAAGATGTCCTCTATTCGAAGAGGTCCTGTTCAAGTCCAATTTAAAGATAAATAACCAAAAACGGGAGACCAAGCACCTACCCACATTGCCCACCAAGAGTTAGCACCTTGACAGCAGACTGAACGGGCAGGCACACCCTGTCCTGAGTTTCCCCACTATGCAATTGTACTGCTCTTCAAATTATAACTATTTCTAAACATGCATGCATACAAACACATTTTTTATGATGTCCACTATGCTTCAAGTTAGCCTTGGTGGGCAGGTGCCTTCTTCTTCTCTTTCTCCCATCTGGTGTATCTATTCACTGTATGAAAGCAAATACCTGCAAATGCTGCAAATGTGTGTTGAAGCCACTTCTACCACTCTTTAGAACATGGGTCCTCAAACTACGGCCCGCGGGCTGGATCCGGCCCACCAAAGCTTGCCACATGTGCACGCATGTATGTGTGGCGAGGTGCCAGCTTGCTCTCAAGGAGATCGTTTTGGACTTGTTCAGAGAAAGGGATCTCCTTGCGAGCAAGCCGGCACCTTGCCAGGAGATCCTTTTCTCAGA